CTAGCTCAGAGGCCCTACTGGTGCTGTCACCAGTTTGTACTGCCGGGCCTGATCCAGGGTTAAGGGTGATGTGAAGAAAGGTAGTAAGACAGGTGCATTTCATGTCTGTGCATAGTCTAGGGTGTGGAGAGTTTCTTGAAGAGATTGGGTTTATGTATTAGGCTCACGTAGTAGCTGTAGTTGACAATCCCAGTGATGCTGTCCAAGCCTCTTAAGGAAAAGCTAGGTATCATTCACTTGAAATTAGTCAGCTTAGAAAGGATTTCACATACTGCCTGGCTTATTAAAGTCCTTTTTATCATTAATGCTGATGAAAACTGGTGAATTATCTAGTTACAAAAAGAACTAATTGGACTAAAAAAGTAAGTCTGTATGTGGTTGGAAAGAAGAGGCAAAAATGCAAAAGAAGCCTGGGCAATAAAGTGGAGAAACTTGAAAAAAATTTTTTTTTTTTTTTGTGTCTGTGTAGAAACAGATTATCAGAAATAAGGTGGTCAAGCTACATATTTCAGGAAAGATTTTGGATATGTGGCATATGTCTTGATGGCTAAACGTTTCATTTCGCAGTTAGAAGTCTCCCTTTCTCGGGATTTTCTTGCAGGGACACTGAACAGTAATGTGTGGTGCTCAGACTGCAAAAGGCTGCTAGTCACGAACTCGTCTTCTGTGTTCAGCAACATTGTTCTGGGTGGTGGTATCATTGCCAACAGCTAGTTAGTTATTTAAAACAAACCAAATGACACAAAATCTGCCTGAGCAGGGAGGTGACAGACCTCGGGGCCTTGCCTGTTTGAGGTCAAGTCCAGCTATTGGGCTGACTTTGGGACTGTCTGAATAACCAAGCAGATGGTCTCAGTCACTTTCAAAGAGGGCGAGAGCTCTGTTTTTTGCATAATGTAACCTGGAGTCTTAAAATCCTTCCTTTACTTGCTGTTTATGGCATTTGTTGAAGGGCAATTCTTAAATATAATTGTTTTAAATGGTTGAAGTGGGACCTTGCAATCAGGTGGGTGGAGGTGATCTTGACAGTTCTGTTCCAGACTTAATTTTGTCTCATTCCTAATGTTATAGGAGACTTCATTGAAAATCATGGAAATTAAACCTTCCTTTACCCTTTGAATTAAACTTCTTGAAAACCTTAGTAAAGGGACATAATTTCCACTGTCACAGAAGCTGTGCCAACTCAGCCTCTTGTAAATTAGCTGTATTGTTTTACCCAAGTTCTGTAATGATACTCTCTTTTTTTCCCCCTGATTTAGACTTCCTCCTGGTCTGTCAGCGCCAGTTCTGGTGCTGAATTGGCGCTTTGTAGGATCTCTGCTAGGCCCTCATTCCTACAAACGAGGTGGCTTAAATGTTACTCGGTGTAAACTGATGTTCAGTGTGTTAGAGATTTCGTTAAAAATTTAACGTCTTTCCCCGACCACCTTGCCCCCTGAAATATTGAATAGCAGTTTACCATTGATAAACCAGGCCTCTCTGGATACACAGAACATTAAGTTTGGGGTTGAAATGTGTTTTTTCCAGAGCAAACTGCAGTCATAAAGAAAATCCATCTTGCATTTGATGTCCATACAAATACATTCATTTGTGAACTTGTGTCTTTGCGTATTACAATGGTATGAAGGTATCTTTGGTTGTAGATTGGTAGCTCACTGATTGTGTTTCTCATGAAAGAGAACAGATACGCTAGCAAAAATAGAAAAATACTGTGGATGAAGGTTGTAGTGAATTTGGACAATTTGGAAACCTTGATGGAAGGAAGATATTTAAGTGAGGCTGTGGCTTTGAAAAGACCAAACTTGTGGTGGTCTGTGTTTTGCCCTGTTTTCATTTGGCTGACATCAGGGACAGCATGGAGAGATTTGACAGACCCATGATTGTGCCCTGTGTGGCTGCTCTCATGTCTTTAGCCACTCAGACTGCCTGACAGTAGAGGAAGAAGGTAGGGAAAATGGAGCAATGAAACAGCTGATTTCACAAGTATATTAAACAAGGCACCTTACAAGGGGATGCCTGAGCTACATCATCCTGTGTTACAGTGCAAGCTAAAGAAGTTAACAGAAATGGAAGGGATATTTGCTCTTTACAACACGGAGCAGCTCCAAGTTTTATGACAAAGTTTATTGCTTTGATATCCTCAGTCTTTGAAGTACATAAACAATTTTCAATTGACTTGAATAGAAATATATAATTACACCCACTCCGCTCCCCCTCCTCCCTGGTATTTTCTGCCTTTGCTTGCTAGGGATGCATAATTTTGACCTTCTGTTGTGCTAAATTAAAGGTATGTCACTGCTAACACTTTCCAAAGGCTGGTAAGGATCCTTTCTAAGCAAGAAGGGCTGAACGCGGATTAATTCCTCAGTGGGAGAATACTTTTGGCAACTCTCAGTTTCTCCTGACAGTCCATTTTTTACCCCTGCTCTACCTGGAGAAGGGGTGAAAATCGTGTATTCCCAGCAGAATTAAAGTGAGCAGAGAACAATGAAAATAGTATACCTCCCTCTTACATGGTCTTCTTTCAGCCCTAGTATTAGACTTAGATTGAGGAACTGGCAAGACAGGCTCGCAGGCCCTTGTTCTCATGGGTGACTTCAACCACCCTGACATCTGTTGGAAGGACGGTACGGCCCGGCACAAGGAATACCAGGAGGTTCCTCGATTGTGTAGAAGACAACTTCCTTCTGCAAGTAATGGAGGAGCCGACAAGGAGAGGTGCCATGCTTGACCTCGTGCTCACCAACAGGGAAGGGCTCGTTGGAAATGTGACACTCCAGGGCAGCCTTGGATGCAGCGATCATGAGATGGTCGAACTTGGGATCCTCAGGACAGTGAGAAGAGCGTGCAGCAAGCTCACTGCCCTGGACTTCAAAAGAGCAGACTTTGGCCTCTTCAGGAACCTGCTCAGTAAGGTTCCATGGGATACAGCCCTAGAGGGCAGAGGGGCCCAAGACTCTTGGTTAATATTCAAGGATCACCTGCTGCAAGCTCAGGAGTGTTGCACCCAACTAGAAGGAAGTGCAGCAGGAGGGCCAGGAGACCTCCTTGGATGGATATGGAGCTCCTGAGGAAAATTCAAAGGAAAAAAGAGGCTTATAAAAGGTGGAAGCAAGGACAGGCAGCCTGGGAAGAGTACAGGGATGTTGTCCGGGAAGCTAGGGACCAGGTTAGGAAAGCTAAGGCCCGGTTAGAATTAAACTTGGCTAGGGATGTTAAGGATAACAGGAAGGGATTCTATAGGTATGTAGCGAATAAAAAAAACAGACTAGGGAGAACATAGCTCCCCTCAGGAAGCTCTCGGGAGAACTGGCTACACAGGATTTGGAGAAGGCTGAGGTTCTGAATGACTGCTTTGCCTCAGTCTTCACTGGCAAAGGCTCTGACCACACCACCCATATCTTGGAAGGCAGATGCAGGGACTGTGAGAATGAAGACCTTGGGCCCACTGTAGGAGAGGATCTGGTTTGAGACCATCTTAAAAATCTGAATGTGCACAAGTCCATGGGACCTGATGAGATCCATCCGCGGGTCCTGAAGGAGCTGGTGAATGAAGTTGCTAAGCCACTGGCCATCATATTTGAGAAATCATGGCAGTCAGGTGAAGTTCCCAATGACCGGAAAAAGGGAAATATAACCCCCATTTTCAAGAATGGGAAAATGGATGACCTGGGGAATTACAGACCAGTCAGTCTCACCTCTGTGCCTGGCAAAACCTTGGAGCAGATTCTCCTGGAAGGCATGCTAAGGCACATGAAAATCAAGAAGGTGCTTGGTGACAGCCAGCATGGCTTCACTAAGGGGAAATCCTGCCTGACCAATTCGGTGGCCTTCTATGAGGGGGCTATGGAACTGATGGACAGGGGTAGAGCAGTTGATGTCATCTACCTGGACTGTGCAAAGTGTTCGACACTGTCCCACATGACATCCGCAGTGGATAAAGAACTGGCTGGATGGCCGCACGCAAAGAGTTGTTGTCAATGGCTCAGTGTCCAACTGGAGACCAGTAATGAGTGGTGTCCCTCAGGGATTGGTGTTGGGACCGGTCTTGTTTAGCATCTTTATCTCTGACATGGACAGTGGGATTGAGTGCACCCTCAGCAAGTTTGCCGATGACACCAAGCTGTGTGGTTCAGTTGATATGCTGGAGGGAAGGAATGCCATCCAGAGGGACCTTGACACCCTTGTGAGGTGGGCTGATGCCAGCCTCATGAGGTTTAACCATAACAAGTGCAAGGTCCTACACCTGGGTCGGAGCAATCCCAGGCACAGCTACAGGTTGGGCAGAGAAGAGATTCAGAGCATCCCTGCGGAGAAGGACTTCGGGGTGTTGGTCGATGAGAAAATGAACATGAGCCGGCTTCAGTGTGCGCTTGCAGCACAGAAAGCCAACCGTATCCTGGGCTGCATCAAAAGGAAAGTGACCAGCAGGTCGAAGGAGGTGATCCTGCCCCTCTACTCTGCTCTTGTGAGACCTCACCTGGAGTATTGTGTGCAGTTCTGGTGTCCTCAACATCAAAAGGACATGGAACTGTTGGAACAAGTCCAGAGAAGGGCCACGAGGATGATCAGGGGACTGGAGCACCTCCCATATGAAGACAGGCTGAGGAAGTTGGTGCTGTTCAGCCTGGAGAAGAGAAGGCTGTGTGGAGACCTCATAACAGCCTTCCAGTACCTGAAGGGGGCCTATAGGGATGCTGGGGAGGGACTCTTCATTAGGGACTGTAGTAACAGGACAAGGGGTAATGGGTTAAAACTTAAACAGGGGAAGTTTAGATTGGATATAAGGAGGAAATTCTTTCCTGTTAGGGTGGTGAGGCACTGGAATAGGTTGCCCAGGGAAGTTGTGAATGCTCCATCCCTGGCAGTGTTCAAGGTCAGGTTGGCCGAGGCCTTGGGTGAGATAGTTTAGTGTAAGGTGTCCCTGCCCATGGAGGGGGGGGGTTGGAACTTGATCTTAAGGTCCTTTCCAACCCTAACTGGTCTATGATTCTATGTCAGAACTTTTGATACAGGTAATTAATCCGCTGGTGTGCTTTTTCATTTTTACTCAATGCCATACATCTGTGCTAGAAGCTGCTTTTATATGTCAGATGTCAAAGAGCCTTTGGAGGAGGGGTTTTATATTCACAGGGCAAGGCCAAATACAGAGAGCTGCCAGATATTCAAAGGGACTCCATGCTGCAGTAGGAAGGATTTATCCCCGAAGAGCTGTTCATGTATGAACTTGCTAGGAAATAAACAAGGCAAAGCCTTTGATTTAACTAGTCTCCACTAAAATCACATCAGTGGTATTGGTTTGCTGTGTGAGTAACTAAGATTAATATGACTGTCACCTGGAGGTATATTCATGCGTTCCTCCTGCTGAAGCACCTGGGCACCATTTGTAGTCACCCATAGTGCAAATAACCATGAGTGTCAGGTAAGGAAATATGGGTTCTCTTTTCCTTTTTTTTTTTTAGATATTATCTGTGTGCACGTTTACAAACCAAAGCTAAACTTTGCAATTCAGTACTCATGTTTTTGGCCATGCTCATACCTGCCACTTTTCCCTTGCTGGTTTCCTGCATATACTGCCTCATCACCCTGTCCATTTCCCCATAACCCATCCCTGTCCATTTCTGCCTCTGGATTTCCCCTCTGACATTTCAAGTCACTGCCCAAGAGTCTGGGAATTCCGAGCTTTCCAAAGAGAAGTTATTTACATTTATTTTCAGAGGGATTAACATGGGATTTTTTACCCACATTTCTCAAAATAGCCTGAAATTATTTTGGTGAGGTTTTTACTAAAAAGGACGTTCATAAATAAAGGTTTTTATAAAATAAAGGTTTTCACTAATGAGGTGTCCTGGGTTCAGCAGTAGCAGTCGTTTTTCTCCTTCTTCGTAGCTGGTGCAGTGCTGTGTTTTGACTTTGGGCCTGGGAACAGAGCTGATAACAATGATGTTTTGGTTTGGCCAAGGACTTTGTGAGCCTCATGCTCTGCCAGGGAGGAGGGGGAGCCAGGAGGAAGCAGAGACAGGACACCTGACCCAAACTGACCAAAGAGGTATTCCGTACCACAGCACGTCATGCCCAGGATGTAACTGGGAGTTAGCCGGAAGGGCTGGGACTGCGTGGTTGGACAAGGGATCAGTTGGTGCTTGGTCAGGCTGGGGGGGGCACGTTATTGGTCAGCTGGTGGTGAGGTGTTGTATTCTCTTCCCTTGTTATTTCCTTTATCATTGTTATTATTGGTGGTAGCAGCAGTGATTTGTGTTATACCTTAGTTACTAAACTGTTCTTATATCAACCCGTGGGAGTTGCATTCTTTTCGATTCTCCTCTCCGTCCCTCTGGGAGTAGGGGGAGGACAAGAAGGGGGGAAGTGAGCGAATGAGTTGTCTGGCTGTGTTTAAACCACGACATGAGGATTTTGACAAAAAATACAGTAGGCTAAGGCCCTGGATCTAGAAAATACCAGCCCAACCCCAGCTAGTTTTGCAACATGCATGACAGGCATCTGAAAGCATTATTATATAATGGGAATATTTGGCAACTGTTCCTCATGAGTGACACCAGCCTGTGCTCAGGTTCGTCTTGCTTCACAGCCCAGCAGAAGGGGTTTGTGTGGTGAATGTTTGTCACCATAATTCCTCTAGGAATTATTTGGAGTTGGGATTTTCTAAAGCGTTTAAGAGAACATGAGCCATTCAGCTATCACTGAATTTTGAATTAAAATGGGATGTAAACTTCACCGCTTGAAAATCCAGGTCTTAAGATTGCAGATGGGTACTTCCTCTGAGCAGTTTTTCTGTCTAACCAGCACACAAATACATATGGTTATATTTTGAGGTGAAAATTATTTCTATTATATTCATACTTGAATCCTTCATAATCTTTCACTGTGCTTGCTGGTGCTTCATACCAAACACTTAATGCAAAAGACAACCCTTTAGCCTTTTTACATAAACCTAAAACTTTTAATACGTATTTATAATGAGAACCAGTTGTGACAGCTGTCATGCTGACACAATAATGCCTACAGAGAGGGAGAGACTGGTTGACCAGAGACTAACTTTTATTGTGCATTTTTATACAACAGAACAAATGGAACTGGAGGTATGTAGTAATAAAACCAATACTCAAATTAGAATTAACACCTGAAATAGTAAACTTTAAGTAACAAATGTCTTTATAATTAAAAAATATTGACTGTTTAAAAAATCTCTAAGATTTTATATTCTTTAAAAGAAATGTGTATTGCCACATAGAAAACAATTCACACATCCTATAGAAATCGTCACAAAAACCTTACTAATCTATATTACACTATGCACTTTTTTTTTTGTACAATATCTGGTAAAGGTCTATCCCTAACCTGTACTTACTCTACACAGTACAATCATCATAGAAAGTATTCATAGAATTAACTACACCATAACAATAAAAATATCAGGATTAATGGTTTTTTAATCACAGTTTCTCCACAAATATTTGTCATAGAAAATATAGCGAAGGCATGTTGGCACAGATGGGCGTGCAGTACTGCTACATAAAGTTAGAGAGAAGGCAGATACGTAAATGACAGTAAGATTAAAGAGTATGGAAGAATAAGACAAGAATCACAATTCTCCTGGGACTTTCTGGAGTGACATGATAGATAGCAGTTTCCTTCTGTCACAAGCCTGCTGCCTATATCCAGAGCTGGGAAAGCATGTGCTGACTTTCAAAGCACGCTGCTTAAATATGGGCATCTTGCTGTGCAAGGGCTTATCTGCTATCTATTATTTCAGGTCCCATACTATTGTACCTAACCTCTTGTGGATATTTAGACACTTCAATGTCTATGAATTTATAATGCCTCATGAACAAGTGAATTGGAGTAAGCTGTTGTGAAAGGTTTGGGTTTTATTTTTGTTTAAATGAAATGGATGGGTCAAGAGTCAAGTGGCCATGATGGCAATTAAAACCAGACAGACAGCTAAGGAAAGTTGTTGTACTCTGTTATTTTAAACTCAAATGTGAACAAAAAAAGATGAGCTAGTGCCTGTTAATGCCTGTCTGTGACTACGATTCGTGTCACTGGCCAGTGCACACAAGCAACTGAGGGCAAAATTTTGTCTGTAAAGAAAGGTCTAAATCTGCAAAGCCATCCCTAGTGCCAAAGTGGCTTTCAAGATGAAACTATACATTTGGTTATTTTGTACAGTATGAAAGTAGAGGATTGTGAGAGGTTCCAGGATGCTGGCTACACGTTTTATGCTAAAAATAAAGGTAGACTTACTAGTTATGTCAGCATATCTTTAGGTTATTAAGTGAGAGGTCTGTCCAGCCCAGTAATTCTGTGACTGTTAAAAATGAAGCATCTGTATTTTTAATCCCATATGATTAAACATTTGAAAGGAAACCATCACAATGTTTACAAAAATACAGCATGATACATATCGCTGTGGACAAATTTACAGTAGAATGTTGATTCACACGTTCCCACATGTTTTACTGAGTAGTTCTGGCAAGTCACCACATTAAACATAGACCAGCAACTTACACCATCAGAGCAATGTAACATCTTCTATTATAGTTCTTTTTAAAAAAGTGTAAGTTCAACACTGAAAAGCTACTATAGGGTATCTGTACTGTGACATTTCTATACACTGAGTTTCTCCTCCAGGGGCCACCATGTACTGTTGACTGCTCAAAGAAAGTCACCTCCTGCCTGTAGTGAGGGCTGCTGTCTCAGACCCCTTGGCCTGGTGAAGTCCAGTATGACTAAACTGTTCATTCACTTACAGAAAATAAATGAGTTATTCTGGTGCAGGCACATGCCTTTTAACCCCCTCATCAAAAATCGCCAAAAAATAAAATGAATTGAGAGGTATTGGACATTTAAGGGCCTAAAGCATATCCTGATTGAGAGAGGTCTTATTTACGGTGGAGCCTGTGTCCCAAGATGCCCTGAGGGCTGTCTATGAGAGATCAGTCACAACCGCAGGCAAAGAGGAGAGAGGGGTCAGGAAGAAACTACTATGTGGGTGAGCTGACCTTTAAGAGACTGCCTCTGTCCTCCACTCATGGTCAGGCTGGAACTAGAGGAGTGCTGCACCCCAAAAGGCCCTTCCTGGTATTTGAGGAAGGGGCTGGCACCCCTGTGCTGCCCAGCACATCGGGAGAAAAGCAGGAGGGAGGGGATAAGGGTAAAAGGAGCAATCAGTAGCTTCTCTCGTGGCTTGCACAAGGCAGTTAGGAAAGCTGGGGAGCATGAGATATGTGTTCAGGAGAGTCGCTGCTGATGAGGTAGCACTAAGGACAGTCAAAAGCAAAGTGAACTTTCTTTCCAAAAACAAGTTCCCTGTACCTGCCACTGGGGAAATGTTGCCTTACGGAGGGCTGGTTCAGGCCAGGAAGCATGCCAGTGATGGCCTGAGATACCGGACAAGGGTAAGGAGATGGAAAACATGAAAAGGAAAGGGGTTTATTTCTTTGGCATTACATATTTCTGGAGTGCATCAATTTAGAGGGACAGAGGACCCCTAAGCCTTTAAAATTTAAGTTTTTCAATGGACTGATTTCTGTTTTGTTTTAAAGTCAGTATCTGCTTCCAACATTGTGCACCACTGTGAATTCTGCTTTAGCATGGCTCTTTTTGTAACAGCTTGCTTAATCTGGACCCTGTGTTCACTTACAACAGGAGTTTAAGCTAGGCTGCTCTTATCCAACCCTTCCCTGAATGCACTGTTGAGCATCCGACCAGCACATTGCCTCATCTATTTCAAGGAAAGGGTATAAAACACAAAAGAAAGCAAAACTAAGAAAAGGCAATTTAAAGCCTCTGAAGCTACATGTCTGCAGAACAGGAACAGACAAAGCAAAACCTGTCTTCTGAAATGGCAATTTGGTTTTAGCAATCTTATTTTAATGAAAACTGTCATGATCAACCCTAGTCCCCTGGAAATCTAGATATACATAGTGTCTATCTGATATACAAAGCAATTTTTATCTATTAGAAGTGCCTGTTATTATTGTTCTGGGTCTTTGAAGGATTCTGCTGTTGACAAACACTGCTGTTTTACATGGGAAGCTTAATTTCCTGGCAGAGTTGGCTAAAGGAAGTCCCTGAATTTTCCATCTTGTGTAGTATTTTAAGGTAGCATTTATAATTACGTTATTTTCTGTTAGGAAATGGGAGACCGTTTCTTTTTTTTTTTTTACAAGAGTGCAGACTTGTTCTTACATCCCCTACTCAGGGAAAGCAACCTGTACCCAGCTGTTCTGGCTTCAGACCTGGGCTTGTTATCAATAGGCAGATGAGACAGTAACTGCTGTTTCTTTTTGACATCTTTATAGTTTTTAAATGACCTAACTGCTGTTTCTTTTTGACATCTTTATAGTTTTTAAATGACCTTTCCCCTAGGACTAGATGAAAGGAACTGCAATTTCCTTTTGAGGGTGCTACAAAGGATTTGGAAATAACAGGCACTGAGAAGTCCCATACAGCTGGTCTTGAAACTGATTTCTTTCTGTTAACTGGGACACGTTAGGATGGAGAAGCTGAAATGTATGTGGTATGTGTTCAAACATGCTTTGGACTCTTAAATGACAGCAGGGTAAGTATGTTTAACAAATAGTCTCTCCTAAATTAAGTGGCTGCTGCTGTTGTAGGAGGTTCTTCTCACTGCCATCAATCACCAGATCCATCTTGCATACCTCTATTGAAGACTTCGTCCTGTGATCCTGGATGGTCAGTCCCTTCATAATATGAGTTTCCATTGTGAAGGAAAGTCCCCACCGCACGCCCTTGACGAGCATGTCCCACTGCGTCACTGAATACCTTGTTTATTTGCTCTTCGGATGGCATCCACCAGTCTGGGTTGGAAGTACAGTGCATCCTAATGAACTCTGCAGGAAAACATGCAAGGATAAAAAACCAACTTGTCTTTGCAGCACCCGTTATTGGCCAGGTGTTGAAAGCTCATGGGAGATAAGAAAGGGGACATTACTGCTCTACTTAAGTAGAAGGAAAGCCTTATGGGGGATGCCATGATAATGCCACTTGGACCTATGTTATTTGTGTACAAGTGTGTTTCTCCACATGCAGTATGTGCTGTTATACCTGAGCTAATTATGCGACCCACGGGACCTGGAGATTAAATCCCTTCTTGCAGGAATAAAAACACCTAATTTGAAGTGACAGCTATGATTCAGTGTGTGCAATACATGTGAACGCTAATATGAACTGGGATCTGTTTCATTTGAAACCTGTTGTGTATTTGTACCTGAAGGTGATTGCTCTGGTGGATCTGTATGAGCTCCCTCTGCTGGCTGCTTCAACATCTGCAGGCTGCAGTAGCCCCCAGTCTGCTTGAAAATGTCACTACTGTTACTTCATTTGGTATTTCTGTTTGGAATGTCTTTCATTTCAAGTCCTCCTCTTTCCATCTTCCTGAATCTGACACCTATTTTTCAGAGAATAAACTGGCCTTAGAAATAGCTAAATGAGATGAAAGGGCTAATTTGGGGAGCCTTGCAATAGTTTTCAATGCAGGAGAAAACGAATTGTACTGCATGTAATTTGGCTGTTTAAGTTGCTGCTGCTTCCACATACAGCTATTTGTATGTGATGATTACATTTTTCATAATGTATTTTTCAGATTCTTTGACATGCGATATGCTAAACTTGCAGAAGGCGCCTTACCAATTCTGGAGCCGTAACTGCTGGGCTTAGCTCAAAGAGGTGTATTTGGACTCTGAAATATCCAAATACAATTTGAAATATGAGGGTGCCTTATTAGATGTATTAGATACACTGTACCTCATATGGAAACTGAGCTTCTTATTTATTCTGTAATACAGTTATTCCCTCATGTGGTGTTGTGTGTCCCAGGATATTTTTAAATTCTATTTTCTTCTGTGGACAAGCCAACAGCATAGTAAGTGGCATAAGGTAACTTCATTACTGTCACCACATCTTGAGACCAGGGAATACTGTGCTTTCACATGAGTTCCTGTGCCTGCAAGGTATCTCATCTGTTGGACAATTAGGATATGATTTTTCGCATAGCTCCTCCAGCAGTGTGTCTGCAAGTGATAGCTATCTCAGTTTTAAATTTATTTCCCTGGAAATCCACACAGGCAATAGTAATTCCTACCTAGTTACGTTCACGTGGGGCTCCACAGACTGGTGTTTTTCTCAGGGAAATGAATACCACATAAACAAGTAATGCTATAATTTAAGCATGCCAGGCTGTTGTAAAGCTGATTCCAGACATCAGTCAGTTGTGGGAATATATTAAAAATGTTTATAGATGTTTAAACTACCCTGAGTGCAGAGAGAGAAGCAGTTTGTACTACGTACGGCATAATTGGACATGCTGAGAATTACAAGTCAGACACTTGTTACCTTGGCTTGCAAATGGGTAGGAGCCACTAGCCAACTCTTGGCAGCAGAGAAAGTTGCTGTTTTCCCACCAATGCATGAAAGCCCAAAGGGAGAGAGCTGTCTACTCTGCTTTCTCAACTCATCCTCAGATACTGAAAGTTTTGGCTTTCTCTTCAAGTGTCCTCAAAGTAAGGGAACTGACGTGTAAATAATGCACATTCTGTACGTCTAGGACCCCAGAAAGGAGTGGCCATAAGCAAAAGTCCATCTACACGTGGATTTACTGTTAGTCTTGGTGGGAGGCAGGGGGAAGAAAGAGCTAAAAAAGGATATTAACTCTGGTTCTGTATAAATTCTTAGGTGGAATTTACAGTCATTTAGTAAATGGTCAATGCACTTGCATTTAGTCTTCATTTTCTAAGAGAACCTCTGGGACCCTGAATCTTGTTTCCACACCTCTGTGCATTATGGTGTGCAATGGACTTGCCCTTGTATTAAGCTCTGATAAAATATAAGGTCTGTCAGAGTATCATGTGACAGGTTAACAGGTTCCTTTGTCGTAAAAAAAAAAAAAAGAGCCTCTGACTAATTTGGCTGTATGTAAAATCTGAGTTCATTACCTGGTTACATCAACGTACCCCAACTACAAGTCTTATCAACTTTGCCTTGTTGGAGTCTTCTACCCTAAACAGGAAGAGGCTCTGTCTGATGTATATAACCACTCCAGCTGGATGACTAAAGATATTTTTATCATCGGCTGATCGAAATAGAGCTTTTTACACTGCAATGATTAGTAAAGCATTCTTGAAGTCAGTTCAATCAAAATTTCATGTATGTGCTCATAAAATATTAAGCATACGCATTTATAAAATGCAGATACTGATACTACAATGTTTTAAATTGTTCTTTAAAAAGGCCTGTTTTGTATGTTTCATTATAAAGCCCAGTACTAGGCCTTTTGAACAATTTTAGAAACCACAGTGTGAACTGCCACAACAGGTAATTCTTCTCATTCTGAGCCCTTTCTCTGTATTGTCCAGCATTCTCACTCTTGGACATTGTGAAATGCTTGTGAAGCTCCTCCTCCTTTTCAGGCTATACATGTGACAAAGTTGTTCCCTAACTTTTCCAGTCAACTTTGCATCAGTACTCCAAAAAAGAAGTTAAATCCTTGACAATGCATATGTTTACACTCTATGTAATTAACCTGTAGACATTCTCGGCTCTACAGAAACTCGGTTAGCTTTCAACTCCAATGATGCACTGTGGCCTATGCTTACAGTGAATTAGCCTATCAATATTCCTTTGGTTCATTTGGTGTGTATCTCTGCTAAAGAATGCCCTGTTGGTTTACTATAAAAGAGTGTAATCAGTATTGTATGATTTTTCTTCTTTGCTGTTTTAAGTGTATCAGTATCATGTGCCCTTGTATTTGTTCCCTCTCAAATAAGCAGCCCCATTTTCTTCCATTAAAAAATAGCCCAACACATATATAATACATACATACGTATATGTATGTATGTATAAAAAAAGAAGTGGAGGGTTTCTGGCTGCTTGTCACCTGTCTGTGAAACCCCTTCTAGTTCTGCAGCTGTCAGCCCAATGCTTCTACTCAGCCAGAGCCCATGTGGTGAAATGAGATCACATATGGTGGACACTGAGCGAAAAGATGCAGTACCTCTGAGACATGTTACTTTTACTGGATCCAGAGGACGTCTTTCAGGACCTGTCTCTCCTGACTGCACTGACCTTTTCCTTTTTCCAAGGCCGCATGAGTACTTAAGCTCATCGGTTGTGAAAACAAATCTGATGAGATAGCGAAGGAGCCGTCGTCCGTCTTTCTTGGAAGAATTTACAGCCTCATCCCACTGTTTACTAGTGATGTAGACAGGGTAGTTGTTCAGCAGCTGCTTGCTCCCCTGAAAAAGTGAAATATTTCCATTGCTTATTTTACAAGGCAAATAAGATGTCGGTTGCAATAAAAAATATGCTGCGATACTGACAGTAAAACACATCCTGAAGTGAACACATAATTGCTGTTACTGAGATGAGTACTCTTAAAATTACATTTCCATTTTCTAGAACTCAAATTTGGTGAGACACAAGGAATACACTTTGCGAGGTAGCTATTGGTAATTTCCACTTTAACAAGCAGGTTAAAAAGAGTTAAGAATCAGTGACTGGATATCTATTTAAGTATAAACTTTCTTCTTAATCTGTTAAAATGCGTAAAAAGGGTCTTTGAAGAGAGTGATCAAATGGATCACTTCATTGCAGCTGACAGTTTACTTCAGAGGTGACTCTTTTAGTCTATTTTTATAATAAATTTATTACTTCTGTAGAACACACCTGAAACTTGACAGCAGTTATGTTACTGTGAAAAATGTAAAGAAAATAAATAAAGGAACTATGAAAACTGAATGCTTCATTATTATTAATGAATGCTGTATTAACTCAAATTACAGCTTTACAGAAATGCCACCGTGTCAGCTGGAAAGGAATTTTGCTTTTAACCTTCATAATTTGTGTGCTTCAATATTCCAAAATCAAATGAATGCTGTAGGACTAATTATGGGGATTCCTGTAATCCTCACACATTTATAAGCTCTCTTTAGTCAATTGTACTTAAATTGTATTTAATTCTTCTTGCCCATAAATGCTATTTTAGCATTACCCAATTAACATATAATGGTATTGTTAATATACTTGAAATAACTGAAGTAGACAAAAAAAACCCAACCCCATCCTCTTGGAGACTCGTTCACTTTTACAGCTCCAGCTCTTTATTAAAACATATAAATCTGGAAGCCCAATTAGTAAAATCTTCT